ATTGAATTCACATAGATCCACTTGCCTCTGCCAAATGCTGGGATTAAAGGTGTACACAGCACACCCAGTCATTTCTGTCCTGAGAGTAGTTTTAAAGTGCCCTGCAAGTGTCTGTAGTTGAGCTCTAAGACCCTGTTATCTTTGATGGAAAAGAAGATGGGAGAGGATGCCTCACCATCACATCTTATCTGCGAAAACAAAATAATCAATAATAAATAAGAAAAGGAATGGGGTCTAAAATAAAATTCAAAGATCTTACCAATGGAGCTATGTGTGTGAAAAATACGTAGTATATTTAAATTCAAAGATAGATTTATTTGTTTAAAGAAATAAAGCTACAAGAAAGAAAAGAGCCCCATCAAAGAAACCCCTTTCTCTCTGTTTTGCTTTGAAGGGTATCACTGTGGAAACAAGTTCCTTGATTTTTTTTATTAATTGTGACAAACTGTACACAGCATAAAACTGACCACTTTAGCCATCTATAAGTTGAAGAGTGTAAACCACATTCACAGTTTGAGGTACCAAGCATATTCATTATAACCAATCTCCTGACATATTCTTCCTGCCTCTGGCAATTGTATCCTGCTCTCTGTCAATATGGCTATTCTAGGTACCTTACAGCTACGCAACATCATATAGAATCTGTTGCCTTCTTACTGGCTTGTTTCACTTAGCATAATGTCTGCAAGGCTCATCCATGGCTTAGCATTTGTCTACTCCTTTTAATAATTCCCCAATGTGAGAGCAGACCATATTTTATTCATCTGAAAGTAGATCTTGGGTTATCTCCACTTTCTTTACTTCCCTTTAGACATGTTTAACTCAGAAGCTCTGGAACTGGGGTTAGGTTGCCTTGTTCAAATATCTAGGCTCCCACAAAGTGATTTTAAAAAAGGAGGAAGAAGAATGGAAGAGGCCAGGTGGGCATAGTACCAAACTGAGCAAACGGAAATGCTGACAGTGCCAGGCTCTAAAGAGAATTTTCACAACCATAAATCATCCTCAGACAGATCTCAACTGATATCCATTAGATTCTGAAAACAGAGACCATGTCTCTTCTGACATCGATGGTGCCAAACTACGCTATATAATGAGTAGATGAATATTCACAACAAAAAATACGAGACATGCAACAGCCCTACCCACAGGGGATTCAGAAAAGGTTCATGCCACATCCTCCATCATTCCTTATCAGCTGAGTCCCAAGGGAGACCAGACAGTGAGAAGATAAAGAGGGAGGGGGAAGTCCCACAGATAGGAAACATCAGAGCAACCCCTGACGATGAGAGTGAAGTACAATCTCCACAAAACCACACTGCTAGACTCTGAAAGTTTTCCTCTACTATTACCTCTCTTACTCTTTGAGATAGGGTACCTCATTAAACCTAGAACTTACTCTTTTAGCTAGACTCTCTAACCAGGAAGTTCTGGACTGAGAGCTACACAGTGTCATGCCTGGCTTGCACGTGGGTGCAGAGGATCCACACTGGGAGACCGTGTCTCAAGCCCTTCCCCCACGGAACCATCTTCCCAGGACCACCTTTGTCATTAGCAACAATGTCATCATGAAGTATGCAGTTACCCTACTCCCAACACCCTCTTTGTTTTCCACTGTATGCTGCTTGGTAGTTGTGGGTTGTTTTGTTGGTTTTTTTTTTTTTAACTTGTAGAAGATTAGCAAAGACTTACAAGGTTAGATATCTACAAACAAAATCTCTGTTCTCAAGAAACCACTGGAAGAGCTGACCCACTGAAACAAGGCAGGACAGGATGAGCTCAGAACAGCACTGTGTATGCTGTGCAAGGGTGTGCCCATGAACAGAATGTCAAAGGATGTGACATAGCGTAGGTACTCCCTCCGGACTGAAACATTCCCTCCTGGAAGGAGAACAGAAACTCGGAAAACTTACCAGTCTTGGGAAACTCAGAGATGTTAAAATTCACAAGGGCCCCACCATAAGTTTATGAAAACAAAACCGTAAGCAATTGCTGAGGGAGAGGAGACTCTTCCATGAAGATGATGGCCACTTGTGCGGGAAACCCCCAGGATGTAACTTCTGTGAGTCATCACTCTTCCTGGGATGGTGATGGAGCTCCATGTGAGTCACCCACGGTCCTGCCTGTGACCACCCATCCTTATTCCTGTAAGTAACCCCAGTAAACCAAGCAAGACTGAGGTGGGATCGGTTCTGTGTTCTGTCATTGTGGCTTTACCTGGGGTGAATAGATGCTTGCTAATGTCTCCCCAGGAAAAGACAGAGCCAAGGTGTCAGGGGAATATAATGAGAGGAGATGTCTTCAGGAGTGAGCTATCCCTTCATTAACTTTTCCATGCACCCATTCACCCCTTCGCTGCAGCTATGGCCTGGCTGTCAGAGCTAAGCAATGTCAGTGCAGGATGCCGTGCTGTGTGGGCTGCCATGGAAGGGAGCCTTAAAGCATGAGTGAGAGCTCCCTGGGGGGTTCCAAAATGACAGCAGCCTGGCAGGAAGACTGGCGTGGAGGTCAACAGCTCCAAACAGTCATACTGAGTAGGGGAGGAACGGACAAGAGGAAGTCAGAAAGTGGGAAAACGAGAGCAGTGTGACCAAGGGCATGAAGGTGTGAGCAGCGTTAGAAGAGCAAAGCTCTTCCTTAACAAGAAGGGAATTATGGGTATGGAAATGCAGATGCAGGAAATCCAACTGCGGCCAGCACCAGGTGAGGATAAAATTGTGGCAAGGGTCATCCACTGAGCAGGGACCACCTTGGGGCAGGCTCCAGGAGAAAGGCACGTAGGACTTAATTATGGTTTGACTGTGCAGCAGCCACATCAGCCCGTGTGTTTGAATTCTAGGTCCCCAACTCGTCGGATCCTTCTAGTAAGGTCCCACCTCTGCCCCCTGCTCTCTGCGACTGTTTGAAGCTGTTTTCTGCACACGATTCTTTCTATGGGGGTGCTGTCATTTTGGGGAGGCTGTGGGATCTTTTGGCTATAGAATCTTGGTTTAGATCTCTGGGGTGGGGTTTATGAATTAGAACTCTCTCGAGATCCTGCCCCCCACTTCTTGACTGCCCCTATGATGGAGCCATCTACTTCACACTCCTACCACACAGCCATAGCATCTTCCACCACCATTCCTGCACCACCATGTCAGACTGGATGCCCAGAGCGATGTGCCAGCAGCAATCCTCCCTCTCTGAAGATGTCTAGACAGTTATCCCATCACCACAATAAGAAAAACAATACAGGACACAAGGATATTTCTACTGTAAAATATGAATGGCCTATTGCTATTAAATGTCTGAAACAAGAATTAACCCTTTGCATATGGGATTCCATGTTGTCCGGTCCTGTGCTACTTGCAGCACCTGCCCATCACTACTGCAGATGTTCAAGCCTGAGTCAGGACAGTGAAGTACAGAGCCGCTGGCAACTCTCCCAAGCTCGCACTCACCTAGCAGGCTTCCTGGCTCCTGGGCGATATCTCCCTGGTGCTGTACTAGATTTCAACAGAATTGTAACTGCTATTCATATCCGATGTACGTCCTACGGCCCAGTACCCAGGCCCTGCCCTGTCTTACTACCCCAACAGCTAAGAACACAAACATCCCCCAGCTTGGCATTTTCCCCACATAGACTTTGACCAGCTTTTGATTGCTTCTTCTGCTAATTTTCACCTTGAATCCTTCTTGCCATCATCTCAGGGCTTCAACAGTGATGGCACATGTGACTTTAAAGAGGCAGTATTCTCTTTTACACCATCCAAACCATTCTTGAAAACATGAAGCATCCAAAAACTCAAAGATGGGAGCCATTCTCTGTGCCCTGAAGTTGGCCCCCGTCGGTCTCCACAGCCCCTTGACTTGTGACTCGCAGAAGAGTTCATGAAAAAGTATCTCATCTACTGTGTTCATACTACTCCCCTCTGGCTGGGGTTGTTGATATGTTTTCTACTATACACAGCTCAGATATGGTCCCTTTTAGAACTCCATATTTTCTATCATCTTCATACAAAGGCAGTTCATTAATGTAAAACCAAGGAAGGCAACTTAACCTCTACTCTTTTATCTTAATCAGGGTAACAGAGCTAGAAACCTGCCCCGCCCCCATTCTCAATAAAGGAAAATCGCGAACAAAAGCTCTATTAAAGTGTGTTAAGGGAAATATCACTTTTCTAAGCTGAAGGTGTCTAAGCTCAGCAGCCTTCATTTCTGTCTACTTTTTGTCTGCATTTCTAGAGAACCAAAAGGAATGTTCCAGATGCACAGCTGCCCACTCACTCCGCAACGCCAATGTTGTCTCAGAGGCGCTTGTTTAGACTCAGGCAGGACCTCCTGTAGCCCAGGCTAGCCTGGACCTTGCTAGGTAGTTAAGGATGGTCCTGAACTCCTAATTCTCCTGCCTTAGATTCTGAAGTTCTGAAATTATATTTTATAAAACATTGCTCTTGCCAGTGGTAATTAAATGTCTTCTAGCAAAGAAACCAAAAATTATTAGTTAGAACAGCAAAACAGGCTATGGGAGATTTTGCAGTATGTATTCCTAAAGAAGTCATTCTCAAATAGTTCCACTGAATACCCTCAGGGACGTGACAAGGGGGCATTCTTCTTGCCAAACCATTTTACTTTAACAATTATCACTGTACCCATTTGGTAGCAGGATGAATATTTCAGAAAGGTTAATATCCTGTCTCAACTGTGTTCCTCATGAAGTGGATAGTTTGTTTTATATATAAAGAAACACAAAGTCCTTCTAGTTCTGCTGTTGATTGACACTCTAGGAAGACAGAAACAGCAAAAGAGTTTTGACAGTGAAACAGAGATTATAGCCAACGGATGAGAAGATTCAAAACAAAGCAATGGAGCGACTTAAAAAATACTGATGCCTTGAAATAACTTTTCATTAATGTAACTATTAAAAGTTAAATGAATTGAACACAGGCTGTACATAGCTGGGAGGTCCCAATGGCGCAGATCATATAAGGTATGTTTTCACCTGTGTTAAACAGACCACTTACCTGCACGAATGAGGGCTACATAAGTCCTTCAGTGGCTAAAAACGATCCTGGCTTCTCTCCTTGTAATGGAAAAGAGTCTGAAATGGTAAGAAAAAAAGAAACAGGAGGTAACCCCTGTAAATTTCCATGCTTTATATATAGGTGAGATTTAATAACGGCAAAATGCCTGTGATTTAGTATTTAATTCACAATTCATCTGGACATATTATCCCACCCCAAAGCAGTAGAGTATCCCCTCCTTCTTCTTTTAATAAGTAAATAAGAAAATATTTGTTTTTAAAATGAAACCATCAACCTTTAAACGAGCGAAAGCCCCGCTGAGGAAAGAGGGAGACCAAACACCGCACTCCCACGTGGAAAAGAACAACCCCAAACAAACTAACCTCGGCAGAAAGAAAGACGCACAGCACAGCTGCTCTGCTCGCACATCTGCTTCTGTTGGTGACGGCCCTGGAGTCGCACTGGGCTTCCAGTCAGGGTCCAGACAGAAAGTACCGCCCCCTTCTGCTAGCACCGCTCAGCGCCGCCGCTGGGGGGAGAATCCGTGCAATGAAGTGTTATCAGGGAAGGAGAAAAATCCTCATCTGAGTTCTCCAGAAGAGGGGAGAATCCACACGCTACAAGGGTTTCATTTCGGAGTCGTAATGAAACCCGTAATAAAACCACTGCCCACCACAGCTCCCAACAGCACCAACCCGGGCTGCCGCAGAGTGCACAGCGGTTACTACGCTGGCGGGATGGAACTCTGCCACGGAGCCCAGAACGCTGGAGAGAATGGACTGGGTGTTGTTAATAGTCCAAGTTCTCCACCCCCACCCGAGGGCAGGAACCCCTGCCCAGCCCCCGCTCTCTCCACTGCCCTCGGTAAGTTCCTGGTGGGGTGAGTTACGAATGAACCCCATACTGTCCCATGCCTTGAGGAAACAAACAGAAGTCAGCTAAGATACAAGCAAAACGTGAAAGATGTTACAGGTCAAAGATTCCTTGTAAGGAAGATTCTAGTAAGGATCAAAAGCCCTCTTGTCAAGCCTGTAATATACTGTTTGCAATGAACTAACTTGGGGCTCACTTCCCCCAAGAATTTTCGTTATTTTTATCCCATCTGTCCCATAATTCAAGGAATAAACATACTATAACCATGTGAGCGTATACACTACCATTTCTATGTCACATGAAGGAATAAAAAAAGTCCAACGTGGTTTATTCAAGGCCAAAGGAAAGATGGATAAGCCGCTCAAGTCTACAGGTTGCTAGCTGGTCCCCCCTGTCTCCATGGGGACAGCCTGACAGCAACGAAGTTTGAAGTTTTTTCTCTGACTTGTTGGCGTTAAGAAAGCCGGTAGACATGTACAGTGTTTTCTATCCACAGTCTCTCACCCGGGTTTGCTATGGATTTAGCAATGAAAGTGGGTTGTTAGCTTCCTGGGGGGCAAATCTGCAGACCTCCAAAGTGGAGACCAGGGCAGAGCAGCCCGCTTCAGCACCGCTCTCAGAGCCTGCGTCCCCCTCTGCCAGCCTAATTAATCTATGTCTAAATGGAGCTGCAGTTGGCACACAGGCAGCGGTGTCAGCGTGGAATAATCGCTTGGACCTGAATCTCAGTTGTTTTCCATCTCCAACAACAAATAATGTTACTTCCCAGCCTGCAGGCCAAGAGCTGAAATGGGTTTATAATTCGCCTTCCAATCAATCTCTCATTCTCTCAGCCCCTGAAGTTTTCTGTCTTTCGGCATGCAGGGGACAGCTTTGGAGACTCAATCACCGGCTTGGTCTTTATTGATATCCTTAATGAATATTCCTTGCCTTCTAAGTAAAAAGGTGGAAATCTGCATAATCCCAAACCACGCTGGTTTACATAATGAAAACAAATAGACTGTCAGCTCGGAGCCCTGCAAGATCATTAATAAACTCAGTCATTCCTCGCTCCTGCCAGCAGCTGGGACAGAAACCTTCAGTCATTTCTTATGCGCATGCGCACAGTCGTCCACATTCAGTCTGCTCTGAGACCCTGCTACTAGGCAGAGGACAGCCCAGCTCCTTCCTTGGTTTCTGGGAAGAGAACTCATTAAAACTCTGTTCCTAGGCTCTGGGAAGTGAATCCTCTCCTTAGTAATCCCAAGCTTCTCGTTCCTCCAAAGAAGAATCCTCCCAAGCTGGTAGAGGAAAGTACAACACAAGAATGCAGAATCGCCAGCAAAACCAAGCGCATGACCAGGCCGGAAACAAAAGAGCGCAGTGAACATTTCCAGAAGATGGACAGTAGATGTGTTAAAGAGAACTGGGTGTGTTCAACCTGACACAGGCAACGTGCCCTCGACCTCACTACTGCGTTTCTTAGGAAGCCATTCAGCAGCCTCAGCAACGCTAAGGACACATGCATTATGGGTAGTGGAAGGAGGTTAAGAAACCTGTGTGGTTAATATATGGTCAAGGAGGTTTTTAAATTTGAATTTTCAAAGCCAAAATGCTGGAGAAAAGCAAGCTTCCCTCTTTCCATTGTTTGACACTGCCTGTGAAGGCCCTGGCTGTGATTCCAACGTGAAAAGCCCCCCATTGGCTGACATGCTAAATACTTGGTCCCAGCTGTCAACTCTGTTTCGGAAGGTTGTGGAATTTTTAGGAAATAGGGCCTCACTAGAGGAAATGGATCACTGTGTGTGGGACTTGAGGTTTTATGGCCCAGCCCCATTTCCTCTTTTCTCTGCTTTCTTGGTGTGGATGAAATGTGACCAGCTTCTCTTGCCTGTTGCTATGACTCCGCCACCATGATTGATTATATACCTCAGACCTATAAACCAAAATAAGCCATTCTCCCTTAAATTTCTTTTGTCAGGGTGTTTTGTCCCAGGAACAGGAAAAGAACTAAGACCGTCCTTTTCTTGTGCGGGTCTTTAGTAATGGAGATAGGGTCCACAGAGTAGTAGCTACCAACGACCAGTGACCAGGCAGAGATGCCACCAGCATCCAAAGACTGTTCACTGAGGCCTTCAGGACACAGTCTTCCCAGAAATCTACCTGATCTTTCATGATAAGAATCTGAATTTATTTGAATCCTGAGTGGCAACATTTTAAATATGGGTCAGTGGAGTTCTCTGCCTGTCGGTATTGGGAGCCAGAGCTGGGAACAGGATCAGCATTGTGTGCCCAGCTTCTAAAATTATCATCTTTTTCAAAACTATGTTTCGGAAAGGAAAGCACGCTGGGACACTAAGTATTGCAAGAAGCTTGCGACCATACTTTCAACTGCATTCCTTCCATATTGAATAATCGACTGCAAATGGATGGTGCATTTTAGGGCAGAGCTGATTCCCAAAGCCATGACCCCCACTCCAATGGGTGACTCTTTGGTCATTCTGTGAAATGAAAAAAACAGGATAAACTTTGTGTCCCTGATCCAGAAAGCGTAGACGCACATTAAAAAAAAAATCTTCTTCATAATCCTTCCACTGAAGTGTGCCACACTTATTTCCTTCACTTCAGTTTCTCACGTTGATCGATGGAGATACACAATTATGCTGTTTAATCATCTGCTCTTCCTTTAATGCACACAGCGTTAGGAGCCAGATAAATGGCCTTGAGAGCGCTTGCTGCCTTGCAAAGGACCTGCATTCAGTTCATAGCACCTATCTGGTGACCCACAACCATCCACAGCTCCAGTCTAGAGAATTTCATACCCTTTTCTTGCCTCTGCAGGCACCAGACATACACAGGGCACACAGAATTTAACAAACCACTAACATCTAGAAAATGAAGTGTTTCAAATCACACGACATCTAGAAATGCAAACCCTGCGTGGGAGGTGGGGGGGGGCCTTGGGGTGCATAAAGAGATGCTAATGAAACCACAGTCTAAGTTGTAATTAGTTTTCTGAAGAAACCAAGTTCTTCTGTTTGCTTTAGTTAAGACCAACAACAATCTTTCTCCCAAACCTGTTAAGATACAGCAGGGTAACTCCAGCCAGCTCTTCCTTCTAAAGAGAGCTGTTTCCCAACAGGCAGTCTGGAACACCATAGCTACAGTCACATGTAGTCTTTGTGATAGACACCTTCTTCCAGGGAACCCTTCTGGGCTGGCTCCGCTCAGTTTGATGGCATCTAAGATGTTAGCGAGGCATGAACAACGTCCCAGGGAAATCAGCAGCATTTAATCCCATCCAGAACCAGAGACCTGGCCTGTCCTCTTTAGTAGGTGACTTTATTCAAGTTCTAAGTTCTAAGTTCTAAGTTCTAATATGGCTTTATTCAAGTTCTAAGCATCTGTGAGTGTCCAATCAAGTTCTGTGAAATGAGGAGATAGGACATCAGTGGTTCTCAGTGAGGGCACAAGAGCCTTGCCTGTTGATTCCAGTCCAGCTAATAACTCTTGTCTCCATTAGTTACAGAGGGAAACAAGCTGCAAGAACAAGAGAGATGCACAGCAGTATAGCTTATCTGTGACGACTGGGAGAGAGGGACTCGAACACGTAAAGTTATGGACTTTCTGAGTGTAACGATTTATTCAGGTTCACTAATGTAGAGTAGGCAATCGAAACACATTATCTACCCATTGACCAAATACACCTCTCAGGATGGGCTTTCTCCATTTCACAAAGACAAGTCATCCCACAGAAGACACCGGGATCAACAACCAGTCGCTTGGCATGCAACGGCCCAGGCAACAGAGACAACCCGAAGAAAACAAAATACACAGTGCACACAGATAGAGCCCCAATAGAGCAGAGAGCGCAATGGGGAGACACGGGCTGAGTGACAGTCTGCCAGGCCGGCGCTTCAGATGCAGTAGCTCAGCTGACAAAGTACATGCCATGTTAGCATAAGGACTCCTTCAGCCCCTCAGCACACGCAAGAGCTAGGTGTGAGCTCACGTGCCTACAATCCTGGCCCTGGAGAGACAAAGGCAGGAGAATCTCTGCGTCTTGCTGACTCCAGGTTCCATGAGAAACCCTTTCTAAAAATTCAGGTAGAGTGGTATTGAGGAAGACACCCAACACTGACCTCTGTCTTCTACAGACAGCTGGACAGCCATACATACACATCAGACACAGAAAATTACAAAGCAAACACTAAAAGTCAAAACAGTTTCAGGTTTGCCATTAGGAATTCAGATGATATTGAGTAAATCACTTACAAACTACAGCCTGGGTCAGACAGACCATCCTCAGATTCCCCACAGGACAGGAAAAGGACGTGCTTTTTATGAGCCCACATAAAATCCATCTGCTAGAATCCTGGCCACACCGCTCAGATCACAGCTCCAGCACCGCCGTCGTCTCCAGATGCTCGAAGCCCAGCTTTCTCCGGTGTGAGCACTCGGGACAAACACCCAGAACAGGAGTTTGAGATAGAGTGGGTAAGGTTTGCTCTCTCTGGCCTCTTTATGATTCTGTCTGACTACACATGTCCAAGACTCTACTGCTAAGACCGAAGCTTGATCTGTTGTCCTCACAGGACCAGTGACACTGACAGATGGGGAAATCCAACCTTTCATCAAAGTTGAACAGACATGTTTTTTTGTTTTGTTTTGTTTTTT